AGATTTAAACTATCCAACTCTAATTGTACTCCCGTTAGTAAAATACGGTATGAGAAAGTTACGTATAAAATATGTACGGGTATTTTACTTCGTTTTTATGCTAATGTTACGTTTAATAGTATGTTAATAGTCATAAATATATAAAATTTAATATTTTATAAATAATAAATATATAAATAATAGTAAAGTTAATAATTTAATTCATTAAATACGGATATTAAACGTGTTATACGATTTTATACGTGTTTAATACAAGAGCCATAAAATGAACGGACAAAAAGAACGGCTTGACAATAATACGGATACGAAAGTTGTAAACAGATAAAGTACGTACGGATACATATACGTGTATTAAACGGAGTATTTACTAACTAGGCCAGTTAGTTACGTGCATGTATTAATGATCTTTGGATCCTAAATCAAATGAATAATAAAAAATTTAAAAATCAGAAAAGCTTTACTCATGAGGTCATTCCAAAATTTATAATACACAACAATAGTCGAATTACTTAATTGATCTAGGTGAGTGGGAGCGGCACACCTTGGCTAAAAATCTTGACGAAAAACTCATGTTTCGTCATTAATTTGAAACTATAATGTATGCCACAACTTAAAAAATGGTGATTTACGCATATGCTGCTATTGGAATTTTTGAAATTACTTTATTTATTATGAAGTTAATCAAGGACGAATTTCGGAATCAAATTATTGACCAATTTACAAAGAAAGCATTCAAAAAACCTTTCATAATATAATTCGTTACGCCTTCCCGTGATAAACAATGAAATTGTATAATCTAAGAATTATATTTATCATTTTTTTTTTATCAAAGACACCTATTGACACACTTAATCCACATATTGATAATTTCTTACCTTACAATTTATTACAAGTACTCTTTCTTTGTTTTATTTTTACAAAAAAATAATCATTATATATTGATTAGAAGAATAGATAAGTATTCTTTCTTTGTCATTGTCACTACTCTAATACTTTTGTCGGCATCTCCCTATTGAAATGTTGTTGATGTTTTACTAAACTTAGCATCTTTTTTCCTATTCACTACCTACTTGCATTTTTTTACGTAATAACATGTTAGGATTTTACTACGGTGACATGCATGTTAAATTGTACGGTGACATGCATTTTTTTTCCTATTCACTACCTACTTGCATTTTTTCATCCCTAGAGAAAGTTCTTCAATCTTGGTTCTAAATTTACTTTCCAACATACTACGTAAATGATACCAATGGTTAGATATGCTAAGATACTTCTTTTAGAAAGAGTTAATTATCCATTGTGATAGTACATTAAGATTGTTTGACTAATATCCATTCTAAAACAAAAATAATTGTTCGACTGATATTTTCACTTGAGGCTGGTCAATATGTCATCCAAATCCATGGGTACTATTTACTTATTCAACCCAATTGAATTGTGTATGAAATCCAAATACAGGTAAATTGGTAGAGTTTGATGAGTTTATACTAATATCCATATTTGGGTTGGGTTAAATTTTAATCCATGGATTTGTACCCATACTCATATGTAGATTGTAGTTTGGTACCTAAACTTAAAATATTTAAGATTGAGTACCTAAATCATCGATGAAATTTTTAATTTTTAGGACCTAAACATTTCGAGACTTGCATTTTGATACCTTCTCTATTTAATTTTTTACAAATTGATCCAATTTTGTATGTGTAGTTAAAATGACTTCAAGTAAATGGGCAGCCATACGAACTTATACCATTTAGAATATGGAAGCAACACCCGTACCCTACCTAAATTCATCTATAAAACCCCAAACATATGTAGAATTCACTCATACCCTTCCCATAATCAATGGGGTTACTTGGGGTTTGGATGAAATTGTTTATTGGTGGGTAGTTGTCATCCCTTGCAAAAGTTCTTCAATCTTGGTTCTAAATTTACTTTCCAACATACTACGTAAATAATACCAATGGTTAGATATGCTAAGATTCTTATTTTAGAAAGAGTTAATTAATCCATTGTGATAGTACATTAAGATTGTTTGACTAATATTCATTCTAAAAAAAAAAAATTGTTCGACTAATGTTTTCACTTGAGGCTGGTCAATATGTCATCCTAATCAATATATGATTTGACAACTCAAGATAGAAATGGAATTCTTCAATGTCGGATTTCGAGGAAATGGTTGGCAATCAATCCCAACACATACGTTATTCTTCGTCTCAATATGATATATATTGATTTAAAGGTAAACTAACACCAACCACACAAATTCAATTATATGATTCAAGTTTAATATGCCTACTTTTTTCTTTAGGATAATGACATTTGGGTGCAAATGTCCAAAGAAAAAATCAAGGACTTTCAGCCTTTGTTTCTTGACTAAAAAGTTTACACTATCTAGAACTTCAAGGTCAATCTGACAACGGGAGGTTAGATGCCAATTACAAACAAATTAGTCATCATGTTTGAATCAAATACTGAGACCGAAGCATGCAACGATGTTCCAACCACACCAACTTACAAGTTTAATTGCATCAAACAATAAAGGTTGATAATAAGGGCAACCATAGGACATTTCTTTCAGGTTTGAATTACTATTCTCAATTAAAATTTATTTCAATTTGATGGGGATATAAAAAAGTTAACTTTTAAAATTTTCCTTCCACATATGTTGTTGCCCAACATATTTAGGATTTGGGTTTATTGACATCTACTTAACTCACTAGAAAGTTACTCGCAAGGAGTTCCAACTAAAACTTCTCGAGTATGTAATTTTAAAACTTTCAGATCAAAATAACCTGCATTACTTCTCGAGTACTTCTATTAAAACCGTACAATCACCTCAAAGACGAAAACATATAGGTAACGACCTCCTGAACTTGCAATCATTATTAAAGTGAAATTGGGTTTGCTATAGTTCGGTGGTGAATATATATGCCAAATGGCGTGATGTTAATTCTCTCCAACTTAGATTCTACTACCAATGCAACAATAATTTTTTTTTTAATAATTGGCAAAGTATACAAAGGGTACAGTAGGAAAGATTACGTTCACAAGACATACGGTTTGGCATGAGGACATGAGGTGACTAACGAAAGTCCCTTAACAATACATTTCGAGCTTTTTGTTGTCTTCAAATAAATAGATGCTATTATTTCAGTATTTTTTAAGTGCTTATTATTATGTTCTATGCATGTAATTTGCATCGATAATTATTGATGTTTTTGTTGAAAATTATAACAATGTGCTTTAATACGATGACTTTTTCTATTTTTAATTGAATAACTTTGATTATTTGAGGATACCAAATGAAAATTATATTACATGAACGTAATTTTTATGATTGTGTATGTTATATATTATTATCTTTATACAAATTCATGATCCACATTTGAGTTGTGGACAAACAACTAAGGCTGACTTTGTTGTTATGGATTATGTTGAAGTGAATTTTTTGGAAGGTTGCCTGAGAGGCTATTCCAACACCACAATAAAATGAGAGGACCTCTCTTTACTCCTACAAATTGAGTGGATGGTGTTGAATTTCCTCATCGAGCTCACAAATTACCATATTTCTAACGCAACAAAGTGAGTATAATGCAAACGATCTTCTTCACTTGATCGATGTAAATTTCACGTGAAAATGAATATATCCGTATTAATTACAAGGTTAAGTTATTCTCTATTGGATGGAGTTTATTTGTAACATGCATCCGTGGAATATTTTATTTTGTAATGCATTTTATTGTGTCTATCATCCACTAACTATCCTATTCTCAACTGTATGCATCTTCAATTTTTAAAGACGTCAATTCTTATACCATGCAAAAAATACATGTGGTTGTATTCTTTAATCTGTAGACAAATGCATGTCGTTTATAACTTCAAACTCTAATGGAACTTTACTTAATCTCTCATTAACATGCATGCAATTGTATCCGGCTACAATTTTTACTCCATTATATATTAATCACTCACGATTAGATAAAACCCCACCATATGTTGTGCTTTTGAATGTCAATAATCTAAATGAATAATTCTAATGCATGGGAACAAGAACGAGACTGTTAAAGTTGGAGGTAATGAATCCAATGCTAGATGATGATGATGTAGAGAAAAAAGAAGAAATTATTTGCAAGGGATATACAAGTACCGGTGATGGGGAGCAAGATCACATCATAGATGTTGTTGATTATTTGGAAAAGGTAAATTCTATTTCAATAAAATAGATCATTTGTATCTGCAAAATAATCATTAAATTTTTGTGTTAAATGAAACGCAGGAAAACCGGAAAGAGGCTATTGTAATGCAAGGGAAAAAAGAAGAGATGATTGATAGTGGGGATAAATGTTTTCACATAGGGAGATGAAGATATTGTTATTGGTAGAGATGATGATGTTACTCATAGTGGAGTAAATGCAAACAAGTAAAAAAAAATAACGTGTAGAAATTCCTAAAATGGAGGAGTAATAAAAGGATGATTTGAACATTTTTTAGTAGTTGGTTACTTTACATGAGGTTTGTCTTTCATTTTCATAAAGAATTTTAAGTCTACGAGTCAGTTAAAGTGTAAGAAAGCACTATGATGTTGATCATCTATTCATCTTAAATGGTTCAAATATTTTAATAATTTGAATTCTCTTATGCTACAAATCCTTTTGAATGTTTAAAATATTTGAATAATTTAGATTTTCTTATGCCACAAACTAAACATTTATCTCACATACTAATTGATTCTATAGTTTATGCGATTGACGAAATTTATCCGGCTACTTGGCCGGGCCTGTGACTAGTAATATAATACAAGGAAGGGAAAAACGGGATTCTCATTTCAAAATTTTTGCTCCAGATCGTTTCACGAAGGGGTAATTTTGGAAACATGAAGTTTCTTCCGCGCGGAAGTGGAACGCGACAGCAACATTTAACGGGCCCAGACAGATGTTTCGGCCCACTAACAATACACCCACAATCTGTATTGAACGAGTCGAGGACTTTTTCGACCCAGAAACCCAAAACCATAGACAACCACGCCAAATCTTCCTTGTATCACCGTCTTCAACTCCCCCCAGCTCCTTGCGCATGTACGCCCGATGAGAGTCGCTTGTTTGCCTCATGTCTCTTCAAGACCAACGACGTCTGAGATTACGATGAAGACGATGATGATCGCAGATGGACGTCGATCATCGTTCTAGCCGTGCGCTCCCACGCGACCGCGACGATTAGCTCTCTGGTAAGGTATTTGATCCATTCTCGCAGAGGAGATCGAACGATGGAGGGGCGAAGGAGGGATGGATCGGACGACGATGAGAGCGTTAGGAGGTACTCGAGCAGGATCGATCTTCCGGAGAAGATCTATATGATGGTTCAGGTGAGGAAGAGCGAAGGGATGTGATTAATGTTTGCGTTTTGAGTGAAGACTGTTTTTTTTTTAGAGTGTGGAGGGATGTGATTAATGCTCTCAAGCGTATTTCTGTAAATAAAATTCCTACAGTTTCCGGTTTTTTCCCTCTATCCCATTTCGATCTGGGTTTTTATTCAAGGCAGATCGTGGATGTAACAGGGGTGAAAGGTAAGTCTTAAATGGTGCTTCTCGAAGACCCAGTTATCCAAGAGAAGCGTTACCTTGAGACGTGGGGGGTAAAACAAGATGGAGAATGCTTCCAAGTCCATCTCCGAGATCAGCTTGGACGTCTACAAATTTGTTGGTCGGGTATGTAACCTTTTCTCTTTCATCTTTTTCCATGGATTGCCGATAATTAGATTAGCAAACACTAATCCGGGTGTCCAATTTGCTTGCATTGTTATAGGATTCAGCTTCTGAATCAATGATTAGTAAAGGTGAGAAGGTAATGGAGAATGATATGTTGAGCTTGATCAAGTTGATGAATGAGGTGCTGAAATTGAATGGGATTATGGGGATGAAGATGTCAAACTACCGAGGAAATTGCAGGTAAAAATACTTCAAAATTTTTATCCTCTTCAACTTCATAAAATTAGTCATGTTTTGATTTCTAATTTGACTTCGATTTGGCTAAACTTTTACGGTTGAAGAGAGTTGAGAAGTATGTAGATACAGTAGACATGTTGAAGGTCAATAACTCCTCCTTGTCAAACTATCAACACAAGCAATCAATGGACATAGCCACATAGGTTAGCTTCGATTGAGCAGCATCAACAACAACAATACATGCACTCAGATGACCATTATGCATCCTACCAACATCAACAACAACTGTAGCAGTCATCAAGGAATTCGACTTCAGGGTCTGTGGTTGTTACCACAGAATGGGAAACATTTGATTCAACACCAGGGAAATCATCGGCTGCGGTTCCTTCGGAAGCTGCCAACAATACAATTAACCAAAGTTCCCATGGGATCAGGGTTCTGATTCTTTGTTCAGGGTGATGCATTATTTTTGAATTTATATTTCTTTGCCTTTTCTATTCTTGATATATTACTTTGTGTTGGTTTCTCATGGTACATGAGGATTCCTTTACATGGTGTTTCAAGCCAAATTGGTAGACCCTTGCTACTGAAATATGTATTTGATTCCTTTGTGGTGTTGTGGTAGATTGAGAGGGAAAGTTTGCAGCTTTACTTAATGAGACGATAACACTCTATCCACTTAGCTTGGTGTGCTAACTACAAGTCACGGTTGAAGAGTCCAAGGTATCAAACACCTACTATGTATTGTTCATTTCTTATGGATGGTGCTGCGAGGGTTGGAGCACAATTCCTGACCAGTTGCAAGTATTTGTTGGTCCCTTTTGTTACTGTCCATGTGTTGTTGTCTTATATGGGTGACTAATGTTGGCAATTAAATAATGCATGAGGTTCTTTTACAAAGACGAATAGCACTGGATATAAGATAGATGTACATAGCTAGGTAGTAATGTCAAATTTTTTTTTATGTCTAAATCCATATTGCCCTACCCCACACCAAGGCAAGCAGGAAAGGGATTACACCTATATTCGAAAGATTTTGTATCATATAAGGTTATGGGTTTTGACTCTTCATGTTTGGGATTTAAGTGCTTCAGCATGTCTTTTGTTTTCAGTTTCAGAAGCTAATGATAGGAGAATTTGGAGTTAAGCGACAAAAGTATGTGAGGAATTGAATTGAATTTCTAATTATTTTATTTACGTTTTTGGGTCATTGTTATGTCATAATCTATGTCATGTTGGTTTTACTGTATGAGATAGAATTGTGCTGCGAATTTCCCCGAAGTTAAAGAGCGTAGATACCGTAGGTTTGAGGGATACTTGGTAGTTCTCTTTTATAGTTCATTATGTCACCTCCCATTTTGCATGGCCCATTTTAATTTCTTTTCTTCATGAAATACAAGTTGGTAATAGGCCATTTTGGTTATAGGCTACCTGGTGTGATGCATTGCCAACTCACCCATTTCATTACCCTTTCTTTCATTACCTATTTGTTTAAAGTGTACTATATCCATAGTGAACTCTGAAAGAAGTTGGGATATATCTAATATGTGCATGTTGCAGGTTAGTTTTTTTATTTTGTATTTCTATTCATCTTGTTCGTTTTGCTGTATTAGATAGAATTTTGCTAGGCCTGGTATGTCTACTAGCCAATAGGGAAATTGAACTTTCTCATACATTTAATTTCTTATGGTACAAGTTTTATCGTTTATTCATGTCAAACATCATAGTCAAATTTGCTTAGAAATAAATGGATTTTCAATTGGTTTTCTAATGTCATTCTTCACAACTACATAGATAGCCCTTCTGAATATATGTCATTCTTTTAAGGGCTAATACCACTACAACACCCGAACTATCACAAAAATGCCACTTGTATCCTATTGTATCAAATATTCCATCTGTGTCCTGAACTATGATACTTTGTGTCATTTGTATCCTGTTAATTTCGTTGACCGTTAAAGATAACGGTTGACCAAACGGTGGTCAATGTGGCAAAAAATGTGCCTGCCACATAGATGCCACGTCATTGACCTCATATTTTTTAATTCAAATTAAATAAAAATTGAGTTATAAGTAAAATAAAAAATTCTTAGAAAATTAAAATAAAAAATAATTATTTGCTCCCCACCCCTAACCCAATCTCCGCTTCTTCCTCTTCTTCCCCCTCTTCCTCTCCATTCCCAGTAACTTTGTCGCCAACCACCTCTTCCTCTTCCCCCTCTTCCTCTCCATTCCTAGTAACTTTGTGCTCACAACTGTTGCGGCCTTTGACTGAGAAATGGAAACCTGGTGGAGCTTCTACCATTTTTTCGAAGAACACTAATTTTTTCAAAACAAAATTTGTTCAATTCAACTCAATCGAAGATTGAAATCATGAATAAAGCATTGTAATACGTTCTGGGTGGGAAGAGGTCGTTACATGGGCCTTGATTTGGAGTTTTGCCGAATGAGAAAGATGATTGGAGCATGCGGTGCCAAGGAGCCGGATGAAAATCTGCTTCATTTCTAGGTTCGAAAGGTAGGGTGAAGGGCTGGGAGGTGGTGGCGACCAGGATCGACGGTGGCTGGCATGAAGCCTTGATGACGACGGAGGACTCACGACGCTCCTCCATCGGCGACTCCGACCAAATCACCCACGGCGGCGTTCCTTCTGTTTGGGAGATCCAGTCTAGGAAGCCGCAGATCCCGCCGAAATCGTCGCACAGGCTAAGGAATCTTCGAGGTGTTTCTGGGCGAAAGAGTAGCTTCTTGGGCGATTTGGATTCGGGATTTCAGATCAGGAAATTGAAGATGTTTCCAGGTCGCATGCGTCGCAACTTTTAATTTTTGAGAATGGGGGAAGAGGGGATAATGGGACGAGGGGTCTGTGAAATGAGTTATTATTATTTTTTTCTTTTTTTTAATTTTATTAATTTAGATGGAAAATAAATAAAAACTAATATGAAAAATTCCACGTCAAATGCTACATCAGCGCTGACTAGATTTTCTGTTAAAAACTAACAGTCAACAAAAGTCAACACTAACGGAATCATAGTTCAGGACACAGATGGAATATTTGATACAATAGGATACAAGTGGCATTTTTGCGATAGTTCGGGTGTTGTAGTGGTATTAGCCCTTCTTTTAAACCTTGCATACATAGCAACAATATATATATTATGAGGTCGACTGTTCAGGCATCTTGGCTTTCCTATGTTCACTGCAGGTTTTAAGTAGTAGCCTCTCCTGACCAAGATCTAAATATAATTACCCTCTACCAGTCAATGAGTCGGGCTTCGAGTGAAATTATTGCTATCCCATCAGTTACAATTGGCCAACTCAATGACTTGAGATAAGGCGATAGAAAGCATGTAAGCTCAATCCCATTTTTCTTGGATTCTTATAATCTTTTTGTGAACAATCATTAGGGGTGATAAACGGTTAGTCGGTTATCGGTTTTAACTGATAACCGAACCGATAAAGTCGGTTAGTGGTTAACCGATAACCGTTACTTCCTTATTAATTTTGGTTTCGGTTTGTAGTATTTTGGTTAGTGGTTAACCGCTAATCGATTAATCGGTTAGCGGTTAACCGATAAGAAAACCGATAACCGCCTACTAGTGTGACTACATGGTTTTTTACTTTGCCTAAGGAAAAAAGTTGTAAGATTCAAAACCAATCAAAGTTGTAATTCCAAACATCCCAATTCTCACCTATTGCAAACAACCCTCCATCAAGAGTCTCAAATGTTTTTAAGAGTTAGAACTCGAAAGTCACCCCTCTCTAAATCCCCTTTGCACTCGATAGAGTGAACCTTAGGTTGATGACTATGGGCTAGATGAAGATCTTGGAGTAAATGATGACTATGGGCTAGATGAATTGGAGCGAGATCCTCGAATCATTTAGGTTGATGATTTGGAGATAATGAACTTGTTATTTGTGTCTTGTTGTGATTGTGACTTGTGGTTGAATTGTGGGCATGTAGACTTTATGTTGTGGAGTTGTGGTTGAATTGTGTGGTTGCTTTAGGCTTTATGTTCAATTGATTTAAATGACTTTATGGTGTGTGATTATAGAGGCTGAAACAAAAGCAGGTCACTCAAAATTGAGGGTGAATCATTAAAAAAGGTGGTTGAAATTCGGTTTTGGGTGATCGATTTCTGAACGAAAACCGAGAAAGTGAACCAGAAACTGCGGTTTCGGTTAACCGCAAGTGAAAACCGAAACCGATGTTTGCGGTTTTCAGTTAACCGAAGTCTCTGTCGGTTTCGGTTAGTGATCTTGGGACAATTTTGGTTGCGGTTAACCGATATTTCGGTGCGGTTAAACCGAAACCGCACCGACTAACACCCCTAACAGTCATGTACTGAAAATTCTGTTTTGTTATGATTTTTTTTATGTCTATTAGCAGAAACCATTGAACTCCTTTGCAATGTTGATATTATGAGGCCATATCCTAGATTGGAAATGTTACTATGTATTTGTTTTCCGTTTATCAATCTTTCCCAGTTATGATTATATAGATTCAGTGCATTTGAATTCTCAAACTTCCAAGTGATTATGTGCTTTACAAATTGAATCTTTCCTACTTACTTGGAGTTACTTTGCAAGTTTTCCAAATGACAACTAATTTTAAAAGTACAGACGGTTTTAAAAGTTAAAACATGCCAATTTTAATTTATCAATAATATATTTTTATACATGATTTTTTTTAGGGAGTGACGACTTCGTCAAATATTCAATTGGATAGATATATGTCCATGAATAGTTTACAAATTTGGCTCAATTTCTGTTAATGTAAAATTTCATATTAATCAACCAATTTGATCACCAACTACAGGAGCAACATGTGTATGAGTTCGAGAACTTTGTATTCAAGCTAACTAAATGGGACTACCGATCAGCCGGTAATGGGTTGATGCTATAGTTTAGCAAAGAAATTACTAAATGGTAACTAGATGATGTAGAAGAAGCGATTAGACTCACCAACTCACTCATAGCTAGGGATGGCTACAAAACCCGAACCCATGGGTACCCTACCCGACCCAACCCAGTCAACGCGGGTAAAACCCGCACTAACGGGTTTTGGGCCGGGTTTGAATTTAAACCCCTATACTATTCATCGGGTCAGGTTTGGGTTAGGGGTACCCGACCCATGGATACCCGCCCACACATATTTCGTCGCCCTACTCTCCCTAAAACTTACCCTAATTCTAATTTCCTCCGATCTAACTCTCACTATACTTATTCTGTGTGATTTTATTTAATGTAATTGTGATATGTTTGAATTTCTAGAATGGTGTTTTATGTATGGATAATTTATATAGGGAAATTGATGTTTGAATTTTATTTTGATAGGAACTTGTTATTGTAAATTTTTTACCACAAAAATCCATGGTTACCCATGAACCCGTGGATACCCAGCGGGCTAGGTTGGGTTTGAGTTTTTCAAACCTGGTGGGTTTTGCCCCGGGATTTTTTTACGGATAAACCCATGGATTTGGGTTTGGGTTTGGGTTTGGCAAAACTCGACCCAAGCCAACCCATTGCCATCCCTAGTCATACCTACCTCCGGCCAACTGGCCGGGGCCGACGCTAGTGATTGGGTAGGGGTGTGAGATCTGGTACTAGACCAAATTCTAGAGAACTGCGTTCCAATAATGAAAGCTATCTTAAGGATTAATAATCGGACAAACAATACATTTGATTCGATCCAAATGTCAATTCGGTTAATTTTTCTTCAGTATTTATAAAAAATGCATGGTATCAAAGACTAGACCATATTATATTCGGTTCGATTAGATTTGATCTTAGCGTTGATTTGATCCAGTGCGGTCTGATATGAACTGACCCGTTGCACACCCATGTGATTGAGGTGGTTTGGATGGGATCTGAAAACCAGGACAATTTGGATAGAGATTTGAGTAAAAAACTTGTTTGTTTATGTGTGATTAGTTA